TATTAATATACTATGCGGTTGACTAATACGGGATCCATAGTCGATTAACGAGATCCATAGTCGAATTAGATCAATAAGATAGTCTATTACACGATATAAAGAAAATTACCCTAATTGATTAGTATTTCAAACAAACATATTATTCAGTTTCCGTATATATTATTATTTTTTCATATATATTATTATTTACCCTAATCGTTTTCATATAATAAGGAAAATTACCCTAATTGATTAGTATTTCAAACAAACATATTATTCAGTTTCCATATATATTATTATTTTTCCAATAGTCAATTAACTAAACCCATAGTCGAATTAGACACATGGGATAGTCTATTAATTTTAAAACACAAATCCGCCGCCGTCACTTCTCAAATCTAGGGTTTTGATGATTCTTCGGCCCATAGTCGATTAACGAGATCCATAGTAAAATTATACCAGTGGGATAGTCTATTAAATGATATGGGATAGTATATTAATACAGATGTAATTCGACTATGCATCTCGTTAATCAACTATGGGCCGAAGAATTATCAAAACCCTAGATTTGAGTAATCCTAGATTTGAGTAACCCTAGATTGGAGCAGTGACGGCGACGGCGACGGCGGCGAACGACGATATCACTCCTAAATTGATTGTTAGGACCTTGGATGCGGGAGCGGCGGAGGTCTTGGTCGTTTTTGGCGGTCTTGGAGGTGGAGGTGGTCGGATGTGGTGGTGGTGGAGGACTAGGCGATGGTGGAGGTGTTGCTTATGGCCAATATCGTTGTTATCGTCGTTGGCCACCGACGACAACGGTGACGGAGGTGGCGGCGGTCGGAGGTGGAAGCGGCGAACCCGGCGGGAAAATAGGGAGGGATTTCGGAGTGCAGAAAATCGTCAATCGCCGGTGTATAAATTTCTGGTTTTCTTTGGGACGTTTTGCAGATTTTGATAGTGGTTTTGTGGGGATAGTGTTTTAACGGGAAAATAGAGAGGGATTTGATATTATTTCAATAGGTAAAGTAACAGGATTTGTGGGATTTGATTGAGGGTACTTATGTAATTTAGAAAAATTTGGGTTTTTATCAAAATGGCAAATTTAAATTTGGATCTACCCCTATTATTTGAATGTTTAAGGGGGTTATATCTAATAGACCCTTTGATAAAATACATAAACACATCATAACACAATCAAACCAATATGTCGAGTTAAAAAACTCTAGTACATTAATAATCTCATAATAGTATAATAAAATGATAATGGTAGTATCATGCGGTATTCATAATAGTATACTACTGTATTACAACGGTTTAACACTTAACCGAAGTTACCGAGCCATTACATCGTAAACACCTCTTTATAGCAACCAACCCACCAAACCTCAACAAAATTCGTACGAAATTCGCCATCGAAAAAACCTGAAAAAACCTAAAATCATGAAACAAAATAAAAAATGCAGAATACTAAAAAATGATTAAATAGACTGCAAATACATTTGAATGACAATACATTAATATCATCAAAAATAAACTTAAAATGCAAAATCCATACGCTAAATTAAAAAAGACTACGAACTATATTTTAATGTACTACCCAACACACTTAAATCGACTGTTATAAACAAATAAACCAACTATCGATCGGGATAAAAAACATGAACTCGACCACAGCGGACAATTATTCCGATTATTGCATAAACCAACTACGAAGCTCATATAAAACAACTCTGGTCCGATCTGCGCGAACCATCCTCTTCTAACTCTGTCAATCCTTTTTCCAAACAAACATCATCATCTTCTAACGGACAACGATGAACGCTCAAATCCGAACCTATTTCCACGCCGGTGAAAAAACGATGGAAAACGATGAAACGCTGGATAAATTCTTCAAAACCGGTTCAAATCCGAACTCGATTGAAAACGATGAAAACGATGGAAAACGATGAAAAACGATGAAAACGATGAAATCCGAACCTATCTTCAAATCCGATGGAAAACGATGAAACGCTGGATAAATTCTTCAAAACCGGTTGTACAAGATTTGATAGAAACCGCCAATATACTTACGTAATTTTATTCCGTGATTTTAGGCAACATATCAGCAATCTCATATCACGTAGTTAAGAAAGTAAATACCGTTCAAAAATAAAACAAAATAAAAAAGGGGTATTAAAGGGAAATTACATAATTTATTTTGCCAAGTTGGCAAATTTGGGTGTATCTCAAAAAGGGAAAAATTAATTGGATCTACCTCATTAGAAAATATGAACAAGGGGGTTATCCCTAATAAACCCTTATTTTATTGTTTTATGTAGGGACTATTTGATAAAATTTTCTCATTAATTCTTTTTCAGAGAGATGAATCAAATTTAAATCTCATATTAGTTATAATTAGGGGTGGAGATCGGACGGATCATATATGGTCATTTCGGAAAGTTTCCGATTTTATTCGGAACATTAATATTGATTCCAATTCCTATTTTTTCGGAATTCAGGAAATGATTCCGATTCCTATTTTTTTCGGAAATTTCAGAAAATCGGAATTTTTCAAAAAAATTATTTTATTGGATTTTCGGACCACTTTCCGGCGGTTGGGCTCTGCGTTGGCGCTCGACGAAGAAAATGACGCGGCGATGTTGGTGGTGATCGGCAGAGAGAACGAGGGGTGGCGTTGGCGGTGCTGCATGGAGAGAAGAAGACATTGGGTTTGGGCTTTTGCTAAAGTGGGCCTAAGGGGTTGATGGGCTGTTGTTGCCCATTTCCTTTTCTTTTAAAAGAAATTAACTTAAACTGTATAATAATTAATAAATACTAATAATTTTTGGAAATACTTTTGGAAAAAAAAAAAGGAATTATTTTTAGATCGGAATCCAGAAATTCTGAATATTTTATATATAATTCCGATTCTGATCCGATTTTTTTCGGAAAAAATCAGAATTTCGGAAATACGACCATAGAAAAAGGTTCCAAAATCGGAACTATTCGCATCGGAAACAGCGAAAATTGGAATTTTTATTCTGATTTCCACCCCTAGTTATAACCCCTTTAAATAAGAATACCAAAAGTGCCCTTTTATATTGTTATGGCAAATTAATTAAAAATTTGTAGATATGTCCTATTTATTTTTTGGATTTTTATAATAAAAAATGGGTTTTTAATTTTAAATTTTCATTTTTTTTAATATCAATTTAAAGAGAAAAACTAATGTTTTTTTTTTCCTTTTTCGGTTATTTGTTATAAAAAAATGTTTTTCAGTCCAACATGTTCTCCTCGTTTTGGGTTCGTACGCGGTGATGAAAATAGGCGACTACTGTTGGTTGATCGAATTTGTGGGAAAAATCCAATTAATTATTGGTGGCGACGGTTGAATTTTGCAAACGAATGGAGGATTATACCTGCCCCCTGTCTTCCCTTAAAAATCAATTTTCAAGAAGATCATATCAATACTAACTCCAAAAATCTTAATTTTCAAATATATTGCTCAAGAACACAAATATTAGAAGGTAGATTTGGAGATTGTAATCACTGTATTTACTTTTGATCCAATAAAAATATTATTTGCATAATTTTCCTAATTTGTTGCTTATTGGGCCGAAAGTTGAGTGAAAATTTCAACTTTCACCAATTTCGGTTTCGGTCCGAAAAGTTTTATTTTTGGAAGATCTTAGAAACTTTTGAAATCAAATGGATTTCTAGATTCCCAAATTTTTGGAATGAAACTGGAAGCGGTTTTGTAATTTGATTAACGAAAATCCCCCCACGTTCTCGTAATTACGAAAACCCCCCTTGACTAACGGTTGACCGAATTTTTTTAACCAAAAACGTGAAATGTCTATTATATCCTTCTGTTATACCCTCGATTTCAAACCTCCAAACTTTGCAAATACATTTGTTTGCTGCAATAACATTCGACAACGGAGTTCATAACCGGGGAAATATTCTGAGAATCAACAGCTTTGCGCGATTGAATCAATAGAGGGAAAATCTTGGCAGGTGGGTAATCTTGAACAATTGAATCTAAAATGGGGTTTCCAAGTACAGAAAGCTCCGACCCTAACAGTATCCGGATAATCCGGCACCGGTCGCCGATATCAGGCTTGAAATCGAGGGTATTCTGAGCCCAATTGAAGAAACTAAAACATATTTTGGGGTGGGTTTCGATTCTGTTCAAGATTTGGTGAAAGAGGAAAGGAGTAAAATTGGAGGAAAACGTGAGGGGTTTGAGAAGTCGAGCCCATAATTTGGAGTGTCGTTGCAGGAAGACTGTGGAGGCCTGTGAAACAAGCTGGGTTTGGTTGATTCGGATCTTCCAATTCCGGGTCGGGTTTCTTCCTGAATTTGTGAAGTGATTGGGGTCGGCCGGATTTCCGGGCCGTTGATTTTCGAACATTTGTTGGTGATGCAGGATAGGAATATCGAAGCGTCCGGCGAAAGGGCTAATTGGTATTATCAGAGGAATATTCGGGAGAATCAAAAAGATTCTATCGAGTTTAACACCGTTAGAGCGATTTGTAAGATGTCTGCATACCTCAGGGGGGTTTTCGTAATTACGAGAACGTGGGGGGAATTTCCGTTATTCAGACTTACCTCAGGGGGTTTTTGGTAATTTGCCCTTAAAAAAAGGGTAAATTACAAAAAAATCCCTCTTGTTTGGGCAATTACAACCGCCGCATTAACTATAAATTTTCTTACACGTCTACCCTTGAGGTTTCAAATTTAATGTATTTTTCTAGATTATATGAAATATTCTCAATTTTGTACCCATTTATCCCATTCAAGCTCCACATTTTGAAGCAAGATGATCATAAGATGTGTTTTTTGGTGCACCAGAAACTGTATTTTGCACAAATTAGAGAACATTCCATGGAACCTAGATGATTATGTTGAATTTGACACCATAAGGGTGATCGTGTAAGAAGATTCATAGTTGAGAAGTGTAGATGTAATTATCCAAACATGAGGGTTTTTTTTTTAATTTAACCATACATCAGGGAGTTAGTTGTAATTTACCCAAAAAAAAAAGAAATATTCGATAAAAGTTAATTCCATATCATTTCCGTCCAAAGTTCACCACTAATTGATTCTTCAAACATGAAATATGTGTCACACTTGTCACGAAAAAAAAAAACGAACCAGGAAAACAAAACAAAACGACACTTTTAATGATTATAATTATTGATTTTGATAAAAGTTGAAAGTGCCCAAATAAAGTTATTAACGTGACATATTAGTCAAACAATGCCACTTTAATAATTTAACCTAAGATAAAGCAATAAAAAAAAAACAGCATTTTGGTGGTGGAGCCCTTTCTCCTATTTTATTTTTTATTGAATAATTAACCAAATTAATTGGGATCTTAGAGATAACCCCAAAATGTTATAATAATAGACAAAGGCCTAATTCCAATTTCCCTATTAGAGATAAGTTGTATTTTTCGAGCAGCTCCAATATTACACTTCTCTTTATCGCAAAATTCTATAATTATCAACCTACATTCTTAATGTATATCGCTCAAGTCTAACTACTCTCACTCTGTCCCATTCCACCTCCGCTAAAGTCGTCTTCTCCGAAGTCATCACCATTTCATGATTTAGTACTGTTATGTGACCATTTACGTAATGAACTATATGCTCCAGCTACTATAATAATGATAAAACAACTATGTTTTTTTATAGTTGATTTATTGTTTATGAGATCTAATATTTGATTTAATACTTTTAGGTCTCATTTGGTTATCATGATAAGACTAACAAGATAAGATTAAATAATCTAACGAAAATCCTAATATTTTATTGGACCCGAAAAGGTCCAACAGAAAAGCTCCCTACAAGATTAATAAGACGTGATAACATAATATGTACAGGTCGACCCGAAAAGTTATTGGATTTACCAAACATCAAACAAAGTCCAATTATTTAGTTAACCATGGCTATCTCCCCAACCAAATGTGACCTTAGTCAACTATATTACATGTAGTCTATTAATAAAACAACTGCGCAACATGCGCAACAGACCCGTTGATTTACGTACAATTTAATCCAGATTTTTTTCAAAATATAGAATTAATACGGGTTGTCACTAGATTCCTCAAAAGGTTGGACGTATTAGATTGTATTAAGTGTTAACTGAACAGTTGAACGGACACAAAAAAATGATTAATGCTCAGCGAGAAAAAAATAAAGAAAAAAAGATGACTAATAGTCAAGGTCGATGAACGACGACCAGTAAAAGAAATAATAACGAAAAAAAGATTAAAGGAAATCCTCGACTTCGATGGATCAACGACGGTCAATTGTCGAAAAATGACCGATCAACGGATCAATTGATAAATTAAAATAAAATTAGGTATTTAAATTTGAAAGATTTAAAAGTATATTCGTCTAAACATATGTAACTTTAAATTTGTAGGCTGACTGACAGTCACAGTTATGGGCGCGAAGCCGTTCAAGCATACGGAAAACGGGCAGCCGGGGCAGCTCCCCACCACCGTTCGGGCAGCTCTCGAAAACACTGCGTACAGCACACAAACACGCCCAAAAAGAAAACAAATCCCCCCGATAATTATCACACACACTCACACTCTCTCTCTCACCTCCACACTCCCAGAGAAAGAGAAGATTTCTAGAGAGAGAGAGAGAACGAAGAGAAAAAAAAAAGCCAAGTACAATCGAGGTAAAAAGTTTGCAGAGACCGATTAAAGCGTGCTGGAGAAGGAAAAAAAAAAAGCAGTACGAAAATCCCAATTGAGTTTTTGGGTCTTGTTAATATCAATTAGGTTTCGTCCATTTTTTTCTTTAATTAAATGCTGTGTAATTATTTATTTATTTGGATCTGTGGTGTTGTTTCATGAGTTGGTTCAAATTTAGACACGTTTTATTATTATTATATATAAATATAAATTTACTGTAATGAATATATGGCGATGAAGAAATTGAAGAAAGGAGAAGAAATGGTTTCACTGGTGGTGTGGTTAATTTTGTTGTCGCACCTTCTTCGCCGCATTTATGCTAATATGGAAGGTTTGTTTTTTTTTTCTAATATTTTCGATTTCGGTTTATTTTGCCCCTCTTTTATTGGGATATGAATTTGTGTTTGTTTAAATTAAAAATGTAGCTTGTTTGATGAATATGTAATATATAGTATATTTCAAAAATCGTAGTAATTTTAGTGCCTGCGTATTGTTCCGTTGCAGTTATGCAAGAAATCGAATAAAGTTCCAGCACTAAAATTAAATTGTACGAATTTGCA